GCATGAAGATGCACATTAGTTTCCTCGACAGTTTTCAAAGGTTTCATTTTCTATCCATGAAAATATGGGCAACTTACTACAATAGTTTTATTGTAGTAAAAAATAATTACTTCCAAGGGATTATTTCCAAGGGATATGTCCAAGTTTCCTTATTCTAGAAATCATGCAGCTGCTGCAGAAATAAAAATGTCTCAGGATACATGCAAAAATACTGCATAGTGTGTGACTGAAGGTTTGTGTCCAGAAGGTGAATATCCCCAACCAGAAGGGCACCACATTCTACAAAGCTAATTCTACAAAAATCTAAACATCTCAAACAAACAAACAAACAAAAAATTTCTTAACTGTAGGAAAGAATTTACAGAGAACCCTCAAAATGTCACCCTCTATGGTTCTGAACTTGAACTGGGGTTTGATCAGTTTTGAAGTATCCACATAATGCATCCACTTGCTAGGCATCATTCTTCACAGCTTATCCACTGAAAGCCAACATAAGGCAAACAGAAGTACAATTGTATTTAAAAGCAAATACATATGTTACCTTTGAGTCTAGTAAATAGTTGTAAGGCATAAAAATAATGTCTGCTTGCTGCTTCAGGCTTCGAGAGAGATAATAAGGACAAGCTCTGTTTAAAAAAAGTAATACAAAGTATAATACTTGCAGAAATATTAAGATTGCATTCAAAATTCTTGAACTATGATATACAAAGGTAATAATAAGAGTGAGCAGAAAAGTAGTGTTCATTATTTTCACAAGTCAGGGGAGGAAGGTCAGAGGGGATCCTTCACCTGTGCTTGTTTCCATTTTTAACCAAGTCTTCAATATCCATGATTGGTTCAATCAGTTCTTTCTCTGAACTCTTTTCTGTAAAACATGACATTAAAGCCATCAGCTTAGGTAAAGGTATCACACAAAGACTTCTTGTTACTCTGATCATCACACTCACCCATTAACATCTCATTCTTTAAAGACAGTAACACAGAGCAAAACACAGATAGATTCTGCCAACTCTTCCAAACTTTTCTACGTGCCTAGCAAACCTCTCCCTCCCCAGAAAATGGGGCTTTGCTTCCAGGTGAAGTAAAGGTGAGCCCAACTCACCTTCCACATTGTTATAGAAGTGACAAGCACGAGTCATCACTTTCATTCGGCACATGTAGATCTGTAAAACAAAGGCTATTTTAGCCCAGAGTGGCACAGCTTGTCAAGCACTGAGAAGCAGGTTAAGGGGCGAGGAGATACCAATTTTCTCTAGCACCAGATAATTAATAAGGCTAATTACAGTTCTTCAGTTTTAAAATCACGTGTCCCTCTGTCCACATTGCAAGTCAGGCCCTCTTTCATGTTCTACGCAGTGACATCTGTGATTCTGTGATCCTTCCCTGGACAGAAAACGTCACCAGAGACTGAGAATCATATTTTGCACTCACAAAACTAGAAACTAAAAGTTCCTTGAACCACATTTACAGCTATTCTGCTTCCCTACTGCCTCCAGTAGTTTAAACAACGTCAGAGTGAAGAATGACACACAAATGACACAAAAGCCTCCGTGTTCTCCCTGTACATCCTCTCTAGGCTCTGATCTCACCTGCATGTGGTTGTTCTCCTGTCTCTTCACTTCAGGATTGATGCAAAGCTGCTCTCTGGATCCCAACACACATATCTTTGGCCTGTTCAAACAGGACACAAAAAACTGATGTTAAAAACAAGGCAAGAAAGAAGAACAGAGTTGCAAGTGTCTAGATTCCATGTATCAAAAACGAAAGATTCAGGAGAAACAGATGAGCCCAAAACAAGGGTAAAAACCAGAACAAGCAAATTAGTCTGTCTGTAACTGCTGTACATGTTATTTGGCTTTCTGGCGCTGCATTTCTGTGGCAGCAGAGAGTGTTAATAAGCAGCAGCAGCAGCTCACAGCAGGAGGTAACAGCAGCATCTTACACCATCCACCACAAAGTCTGGGTTCTGTTATGACAGTTCAGCCCAGTCAGCTGGGCCTGTCATCCACTACAAGACATTTTGAGCTGGTGGGGATGTTCAGAGTAAGGTTGTGACAGAACTGATGCTCTACAAACATTCACAATATTTTTTTTTTTTGCTTATCACAAGGTTGTATCTTTACAAGAACTAAATAAACAAATGACTACTGCCTGTCCAAAGAGCTCGGCCACACACTGGCAGGTCAACAGCTGAAAACTGTGACAGGCATTGGTACAACAAACCCACAAAGTTCTTCATAGATTTACATCAGCCTGAGGAATTCAGCTTGGTAACAGCTTCCTGCTGCCTTAAAGAAATGCCCCAGGAAGAATATAAAGAAAGGGAATCAGAAAAGGTAATTTTATAAGTAAATGTGCCAAGTGAAGAACCAAAACCATACTAAATTCAGAAAATTCTATGATTGAAGAAGATAAGAGAAGCTGTGGAGTATTAAAATAAACCAGACCCAACAACAATGAAATCCAGGTTCTATTCATGCACAGTAAGGGAATGACATTTCTCTGGATATAGCTTTTTATATCCATCCACAGAAGTTCAAACAATAACTACATCAGATGGGTTTGTCCACCTTTGCTTTGAATGGCAACACTACCCTAAATCTTACTTGCCTGTAGACTGTGTTCTTCAACTCATTAATGACTTGTGTAAGTTGGGAGTGAGTTCTGGAGGCATAAATTATTTTCGGAATGTCAGTGTAATAAGCTGCCAAACAGAAGAGGAAAAAAGCAGAAAAACATTATGAGCAGGGACAGAAGAACTAGGGATATTCTTAGCCTCTTTTCCCAGCTGGTACTATGGTAACAGTTTGCCTTGTAGAGACAGCAGGAAATTCTGTCATCTAACAACTCACACCCACCAGACGAGCTAAATGAGTTTCTAACGTTGTAAGAAAAAACTAAAACCATGTGAAACACCCTGAAAAACCTATAAAACGGTGAAACTGTGCTTCAGCCGCTCAACAACAGCTCCATAACTTCTATAATCATGTATTTATCGTAAAAGATAGACAAAAGCAAGTGTTGACTGACATCCCTGAGGGCAAAGGTGGTGGTACTCACTCGGGACATCGCCATCCGTGGCAGCAGTGCCCCAGGAGGACAGGGGTCTGTCGGGAAACAGCTCCACCCCGCGCAGACGCTGCGCGATTTTCCGGGCTGAGATGGTGTCCTTGAAGTGCTCCCGCCAAGCCAGGGTGGAACACAGCAGGCAGAGGGTCTTCCCCGTGCCTGTGGGGCTCTCCAAAATGCCATTCACCTTCTTTATTGGACAGAAATAAAATAATAAGGGAATAAGTGAGTGATTTGGAGGTTCAGCTAGAACAGGTCTTCGTGCGGTACTGCACGTCCTCTGCAAAAAGCAAACACCAGCTGGCAGCACCTACCAAGGAACACACACACACACAAGGTCATCATCAATGCACGACCTGTAGGACCCTCTAATCAACTTAATGAGGCCCTTCCAACCCAAATCACCCATGATTCCATGACACCCCAGACAGCCAAGGACAGACTGCATGAATACAAGTACTACTTGCTCAGTTTTCTTTCCTTTTCCCAAATTAGGCAGGAACATCCTATCTATATTTCTGCTGAGTGTCACCTGACATGTGGGTTTTCAATAACCATAGAGAAAAATAAAAATAGAAGCAAAAGGTCACAGAAAACTTGGAAAAGGTGGCAAACAGACAACATAAAGAAAACGTGAATTGTGACAATTTCTTCTTAGAGAAATCATTTTGTGCAGTTGGCAAATGAGCCAAATTGCCCCCATGGAGGCAGCACAGACCCACCTTCTGCAGGCACTCCAGCACCTTGGCCATGTAGGCTTCCTGGCATGGGTAGGGCTGGAAGGGGAAATCCACTGTGATGCCGTTCAGAGTGATCCTGGGCATGGTCCTGTCAGTGCCTGCAAGGAAACACAGGCTGTGACTGATCCTGCTGCCACGGTGTTATTGGAATGACAGAAACACAGACTGGTTTGGGTTGGAAGGGACCTTAAAGCCCATCTCGTTCCA